ACTCAAATACAAGCCTAAAACCATTTTTACTTAACAAAGAGCTAGAAACTAAATTCTTCCGGATGTCTGGTACATGCAGTACGTTGTTGAGGGTAAGTTCTTTCCCTGATGTCATCTTCAAGTTCACTTTTCCTTGTCCAGCCACAGTAGAAGTAGAAGAATTTCCCATAAAAAGTTGTTCACCATTTGTAGCCTCATTATAAGTTGTGAACATTTTCTTGTTCGCACAAATGTGACAAGTTGCTCCAATGTCAACCCACCATTCCTTGAGATTTCCAACCAAATTAGCCTCAGATACCACAGCAAAGAGATTGATGTCATTTACCGTGAGAGATGTAATCTAATTCTGTCACATTGGCTTGATTGGTGGTCTTCTTGCTTGTATTTCCGCGATCCTTCTTAGGGCAACGACAATCAAAAGCTCGATGTCCGATCTTGCCACAGTTATAGCATTTACTTTTGAACTTTTTATTGCCATTATTGTCGCCTTGTTTCGGACCATCTCCAGTAAACTTCCGCTTTTTGTTATGTGGTTTGTGCACTTGTTCAACCACATTAGCCTTAGACTCAATGGGATTTTTACCATTCCTCTTTTCAACCTTTCGGTTATCTTCCTCAATTCTCAATCTTACAATCAATTCATCCATGGTCATCTCCTTGCATTTATGTTTTAAATAATTTTTGAAATCTTTCTAAGCTGGTGGTAACTTTTTCACTAAAGCAGTGACTTGGAAAGACTCACTAAAAGATATATCTTCAGAATCAATATCATGCAAAATTATCTAAAGATTTTAAACATGAGAAATTACCGTTTGGGAGTCTACCATAACGAAGTCCAGAAATTTACCGACAACAAATTTCTTCATGCCGGCATCCTCTGTTTTGTATTTTTTCTCCAAAGAATCTCATAATTCTTTTACTCTTTTCAAAGGGCTGTAAACATTATACAACATGTTGTTAAAGCCATTGAGAATGTAGTTTCTGCACAGGAAATCAGAGTATTTCTAAGCATCTATAGTGGCAACAACTTGCCGATCACTTTCATCCTCTCTATGTACTAGAGCTTCTTCATGAAGAAACCGAGCCAAATTTAGAGTTGTAAGATAGAACATCATTTTCTGCTGCCATCTCTTAAACTCAGTGCCATTAATTTTTTTCGATTTTTCTCCATGATTTATCAGAACTTGAACATGGTTCAGGATAGGGACCGGAGTCATTGTAATGATTGGATTTGGAGTACTACTTTCAGCAGTCATAATGTCTGATTACAAAAATCAGAAAAAACCAAAACACAAATTAATTTTCTAGTTACTAAAATCAGAAAATAAATTATAACACAAAATAAAATTATTTTCCTTGTTACTAAAACTAGAAAAATAAAATGCCACAATAATTTTTTGTAACACAAATTAATATTCTGCAATTATTAATGACACCAGTATATTACTACTAGTTGTCAATGAAAATAAACAGTATATTACTACTGTTTGTCAAATAGTATATTACTACTATTTGTATTTTCCAACCAGAATATCACTTTGTAAAATCACAAAAAATTAAATGCAATGAAGACACCAAAAAATTGGTCTATCTGAAGATTGTTGGACAATCTTCACTATATTCTGAATAAATTAAGTTTGTGTACTTAACAACAAACAAAATAAATAAAGGAAAGGAGAGAGAATGTTTGATTACAAAAATCAAACTTGAAAATAAAATAAATAAATAAAAACAGATTTTTATTTTGTTACAAAAATAAAATCAAAATCTGATATAAATAAATAAAAAAACCAGAAAATAAATTAACAACTTACTCAATTAATTTCTTAAACAAATTTTTGATCAAGTCCAGTGTTTAACACTGTGTCCTTAAGACAGATTCGTCCTCTCCACGGTGCTTTCAGAATGTGGACGTCTATCTCCCAAGATAAAATGATCAACAACGAATAAATGCAACACTACAATTTATTTGCACAACGAACACACTTTGTGTTTACACTTTTTCTTTTCTCACAAGAAAATAATGTAGTTAATGCAGCAAAATATGCAGAGAGCAAAAGCAGAATTTTTGGACGAAAATTAGAGTGAAAAACAAATGAGGGACTTGTCTTATTTATAGATGCAGTGGTACCCTTTTAGTTTGAATTAAACAGGTAGCATACCTGTTTGAACAGGTACTTAACCTGTTGGGTTTGAATTGGAACTGTTTGGGTTCAAATTTTGAATTCGAACAGATATCAACCTGTACAGAATTCCAACCGGGTTTTTTGAAATTTAAACAGATTCAAATCTGTCCGGGTGGGAAAAATCAGACCTAATTTTGAATTTAATTTTAGAAAAATAACACTCAAATGTTTTTTGCCCAAAAAGATAGATATTGGGCCGGATAAGCCCAACCCAGTCTCATACCACACACCCATGTGTGGTAAAAAAAATTTTTTTAGTCCAATGGGTCTAGCCCATAATCTATCCCTTCTACAAACTTGGGGTGCCCCTTGGAGCCCTCCACAAGTTATAATTCCAAACTTTATAAGCCCATTAATTTCTTCCCATCAAACCAATGTAGGACAAGCTTTTATTCAAACCTTTAAAGATTTTTCACCAAAATTTCATTTCTATGGAGCACATTTTGGCTTCAATTTCCCATTCACTTGATAATGGTTTTGAGCAACCAAATATACCACGTGAATCACAACGCGACATAGAACGTGTTACCACTTAGGCCTGCAAAATTCAATGCATGGGTCCTACCTAAAAATTAGACCAAAGTTTAGAAAAAATTATGTTTTTTATTTCCAAATTTTTTCAAAAACCATTTCTAACAATGTGTAGACATGAGAATAAATAAGATAAAATATAAATTTCAGAGTAACAGAGACAATATCATCATTTTTCCATCGACACGACTAACGAATTATTACCAAGTGCTATGTGAATTAAAAACCTTAAGAGAGTCCAATATAATTATGTCAAATATTTTGTAGGGCTCAACGTCCTCCCCCCTCTAAGGGAGGTTAATGTAATTTATCCTGTTTTAAAAGAGCACACCGGTCTAAGCATTTGAAGTTGATATAAAAGGTTAATTGGCTAAGTGTAGAAGCATAATATATTGATGAGGTAATTCAAATGATATTTAGTAAATTTTTTAAAGATTGTTTTTATAAATATTATATTTTTTAAGTATATTTATATTAGGTGTGTCTAAAAATTAAAAAAAAATTGTTTAAAATATTAAAAAAATTTATTAAAAACAAAAAAAATACGAAAAATAAAAATATAATTTTTTTTGAAAAGTATTTTTTAAAAACTAAAATCAAACAAGCTGATTGTAATATTTTTTTTTATTGAAGGTTTCCTGATTGCTGTTGTTGTGGTGGTCCATTGTTACAACGTGTTTTAAAATTGTGCGCAAAGTGGGCAAATTTCTACAATATTAGGTCAGGAGCCTTAAGTTGTGCGCCTATCATTACATCTTGCATTAAGCATAGTTTGATACTTTAATTTATTTTTCTTAAGCCTTCTTTTGGAATATGGGTTGATTTTTTAGTTTTTTTGCTATTTTGGCCTGGGGTTAGCCTCGTTTGAGGTAGGTTATTTGAACTTTTTAACTTTTGTAAGAGAAAAGATGAAATGATTATGATTTGGATGTGATATTTTGTTTTATTTGACTAAAATAATCAATTTTGTTTAGTTATTCCAGTTGGGATTAAAAAAAATTGTCAAACAAACTTTTTAATCACAAGTTAAAAAAATCTTAACTTCAAAAAGCCAATTAAAAAAAGTTTTTGTCGAACAACAACTTAATTTGTACACATTGGGATTGCTTAGTGCAGCTTAAATAATTTATTTATAGCCTTGACCCCCAAAAAAATAAATATTTATAGCTTATTAGACATACACAAACTAAAATAAAGTTAAAAAAATTAATTAATTATCTAAAAACTAAAGAAGTACTTTTATTTATTTCTTGACTATTAACTTTCAGCTTAATATCAACTTTACATTGAGGACTCATACATTGCAATCGACCGTAATTTGAGTTGCTTTTATCTGAATTTGTCATAAGTTCAAATTTGACAATTTCTCTCTATTTCTCACTACAATATTAAAATTAAAATTTTTGTCTGAATTTTTTCACATCTTCGATTGTCTAGAAGGACATTTGAGCAGATGTCTTAGAGGTCGTTCAAACATGAACAAAAAAGGCTGTCAAATTGCCTTAGGTGGACATTCGGGTGAACGTCTGGTCTAACGGTAGCAATTTAAATTTGATAAAAGATCAAATCTTCCTTCATTTGATGAAATATTTACTTCTACCTCTATTTAATATCACTTTGATGAAAACGTTGGAGCTTATTTTTTAAGACTTTTTTTTTATTATTTATCAAATTTGAATTTGATGATAGATTTAAGTAACGATTGAAGATGGTCTAAGTTATAACATTTTGACATAAAATATGATCTTCTTGAATGCCAAAATGCCAATTGGAGTTGTTTTTAACCAAAAGCTAACGTTGGTTAAAAAGCCAGTTTTTAACCAAAGGCTGGTTTCGTTTGTCAATTGGCTTGCATTGGCAAGTTAATAAAAAGCCAGTTTTTGGCTTTTTTTGCCAAAAAAACTAACTTTTTTACCCAAATCATTACTCAAAATGCTAGCTTTTTTAGTTAAAAAAGTTAGCTTTTTATCAATTTCTCAAAACACCAGTGTACATTTTAGTCAAAAAGTCAAAAGTCAATATAAATTGTCATAATATTTTTATATTTTTCTATATATATTTTTATAAAAAATTAAAAATTTGTTAAAATAATTTGATCTCAAAGGAAAAAAAATCATTAACTTACTTATTACAATAAATTCATCCAATCATGTCCTACAATCAAAGGTGGTCTTATTACAATAGATTCATCCAATCATGTCCTACATATGTACACGTGTACGGTCCCCATAAGACAAACCCAGATAAACGGCTAGGGTTTACATGCACTTTCCTGCGTCTCTCTATCTAATTCAATTGCTCCCGACACTGATACTTACGGAAGAAGAAACAAGAAGAAGAAGACCATCTCTGAAAACTCGAAGAAGAAGACCATCTCTGAAAACCCTAGAAATTTCCTAATTGTTTTTTTAGGAGAAGAAGATGAGCGAAGAAGAAGGGAAGGTTCTTTATCATCACCGTCACCAGCAAGAGCAGCAACAACAACAAACTCAGTACGGAACGTTTCAGGGCGTTGCGAACTACCCTCCTCCGCAACCGGTGATCGGATTCCCTCAGCCTATTCCGCCGCCCGGCGCCGCCGATGTTCCACCGCCGGGTTACTATGCTCATGGGTATCAGGCTGTTCCAGGTAATCCCTGCTATTCTAGTTGAATTCTTGAAGCTCTCTGTTTCATTGATTCACTCCAAATTTAACAATTCCTGTAGATCATGCTAGAAAGCCTCGATATGATCTTTGTTGTTCAGTTTGAAAGACATTATGACAAACAATTGAGCCAAACAGAAGGAAATTAGGGATTGAAAGTGGGTTTTTGAACTTCTATGAATGATCAGTGTTTGGTAGTGGGTAACAAATTGAAGTCATTACAGGTTTTAATCTTTCAGGCTGTGTTTGGTTTACAGATTTGGTGAGAGATTTGGAAAGTAAAAGGGAAAAGATATAAGTGAAATGTGAATGCCCCTTCCTAAATTCCTACCCAAATCCATGAACCAAACATGGCCTAAGGCAATTAGGTGTGAATCCCACATGAACTTTTTGGAAAACAAATTTGTGATGATCTATGAACTTTTTAGTTATTTGGGTTGTTATTTATGAGTTCAGTTATTTTATATTTGAATTTAAATTAGTGTGATGCTGCTCTAGGTTATGCCGTTGCTGAAGGAAGGCCTGTAAGAGAGCGCCGCCTTCCTTGCTGCGGTTTTGGGTTTGCCTGGTTTCTGTAAGTTTTTATTATTATTTGTGTGATTGACCTCATGATTCAAAGATTATGGCATTGGTTTGTAGATTTGTTTGGCAAGCTTTGCATCTTCTCCTCTGAGAAAACAAGTGGGTTGAGGTTTCAAATATTTAGCTGTACTTGTGAAATTGAAAATTGAAAATTGAAAATTTTGCTTGGATGAAATTGAAAATTTATTTGGAAATTTTGAATGTTTTAGGTTTAGCCCTTTTGCTCTAGCTTATCTTTGCTTGGTCACATTGTTTTGTGTTACATGATAGTAGAGCTTGAAAGTCGACACTTGCACTTGTGAAGAAGTTGGACTTTATGATAAAAACTGATGCTGTTCATCCATATTACCAAAAGAAAGTGTGAAAATAAGGAGAGGGAATGATAGGAAGGAAGGAAGGAAACGAACTAGAGAAAGAGAAAAATCTGATGTAGTTGGTCGCTGTGAAGTGCTATGTCAATTATGTTCATTTGGTGGATGAGGTTAAACTTTTCTGTGTTTTCAATTTCCTGCATTTCTCTCCATCTTCGGCCCATTTTGCCGCAATGCGTAAAAAAATTGGAAACATCTCTTTGTGTGTACTTATGTGTTTTCAATTATGAAGGAAGTAGGCCTTGTTCATTTTTGTTCCAAACGGACCGGAGTTTTTTCCTATAAAGGTTGCACTAAGTGTGATGAAATGGACCCTTTGTGTGATTCTCTTCGGCCCAGTTCTGAAATTCAGTTGCCTTGTATGCACTGTAACTTGTAAGAGACTTTGCAAGTTTCTTGAATAAGCCACTTTACAATTGCCTAGTTATTTACATTTAGGGTAACTTAATGAGTTTACATTGTTGTTTTTCGTACAGCTTGTGTCAATGTGATCATTTACCTATTTATAAAAATAATCATTATTAGATGGAAGAATTTCACTTTTACGCTTGAAGTGACTGGAGTTACTTTTACTTGTATCATTATTTTGGTCATGAATCTGACATGATGTGTTAATATGCCCGGGTTTCTGATTTCAGAAACCTGATATATAGTAGCGTTTTGATTTCATTTGTCATTTTCTATAAAATTCTTTGATTTTTCTTTTGCTGCATTTAATCCTGCCATGCATAGTTAATAGGAATTTTCCACTTCTTCATGATGGTTGATAATAGTGAGCTGTTTGTATTATGAAGGTTCATCATTGGTTTCTTCCTTGCTGCTATCCCGTGTTATGTTGGGGCAATCATTGAGAAACCAGGATATTTCACACGCACAGTTGTGGTGAGTAGTTCTTTTCTGTCATTTTAGTTTAATTTTCAGACTCAGGACAGTTTCCTATTTTTTCGGTCATTGATTTTACTTCTTGGTTTAATCCTTAGTAACAAAGTTAGCATCGTTGTTTTGGTAGTTATGTTACTTCCTTCCACATACATTGTCCAAACAGGCCTAGGATGGAAAAAAGGGCTTGTGCAAGTGTTGTTTATATGTTAGTATATTAACTTATGAAAATTCTGAAATTAATTAGTTCTGTGGAGTTAGGGAAGCCGTTGCATGATGTCCCCAAAAATGGTTGGGGGTGCTATGGTCGTGATTGGTTTGATCGCTATCATCTTGCTACGCCATGCCTCCCCACGTGTGGCGCCCTATGTTGAGTACGCCGGTTTCCTATCTCTGGCAATCAGCTTCTTTGCAATCACAACTATGTTTCTGCCTTTCACCTGGATCATCTGTCCTGCTGTTCTCCTTTCGCACGCGTTTGTCCGGGCGTTCTTCAAACTCCGGTAATCCTCACAAACTTTAATTAGGGTGTTCTTTTCAAATGCCAAAATTCAAATATTATGCACTCACTATTTTTATGAAAAAAGTACATATAGAACCCATAAATTTTTTTATTTTTTATTTTTTGAATGGGTATAGAACCCATAATTAGATACACAGATCTCAGCAGTCTGATTATTTATTTATTTTTTTAGGGTAAATTACAAATGCATCATGAGATTTACTTAAAATATAAATTACTCATTGTGTTTGAAAAATTATAAATATTTCATTGCCAAATTTTTTTATTTATCAGATTAACTGAAAAACTAAAATTCTTAACCGCTGTCCTATGTAATAATAAAATTTCCTAAATTAACATCATTACTATTAATTAATTTGATGTTTTATTAATAAAAGGGGTTAATTGTTATTAAATTAAAAACCTCAAGGGTTGGGATGTAATTTTCATCACTACAAGGAACAATTTGTATTTTAAGCGAATGTATTCGCCGGAAATCGCCTCTCTCTCTCTCTCTCTCAAATGAACAGTGTTTTGAGAAAGGGAGTTTATATACTTTGGTTTTTCGTAATAGTTGAAATTGACGAGGGGCATTTAAGTAATTTTGCCCCTCGATTTTCAGCTTTCCATTTAAGTTAAATGGAAAAGCAGCTCCTCCCCCACTCAAAGAAAAAGCTGAAAATCAGCTTATAAAAAGCTATAATCTACACCATTAAGCTACACTAGACACACAAAAATAACTTAGTTTAAGCTATAAGTTGCCTTAAGCTAAAAATAAATTGTGCCAAACGGAGCCTTAGTAACTAATAAGCTACAAGAGCTTACACAGTATTCACAACAAACCATTGTTAGACATCACTGAGAGCTTTGATAGTTAACAAAACCAGTGAAACAAAAACTGTTGTAATAGAAATACCAAATTAGTTACAGCTGGAGTTGGTTAAGCTAAATTGTTAAGAGTTAGATTAATCCTAGTTAGTGAGTTCTATAACTTACTTTAGTGTCTATACAAGATAGTCTCATCCCTATGATCTGTATTAATATTGAATCAATTGAAATGAATCCTTTTTAGAACATTGATTGCAGATGCTTTCTGTTAAAGGTTAGACCCTGCCACTAGCAAGGTTTATATGTCTTAACGATTATTTTGGTTATGGCTTATAAATTGATTTTTATATTTATTACGAAAAAACGTATAGAAAAGTAGAGAGATGATGTGACCCAAATAAACTAATAAAGGTATTGCCAAATGAGCCCTAAGCATGTAATTTTTTATGAACTTCATTTTCCCTTTGCCAGTTCTCGCTCTTCTTTTCCTTTTGTGAAGTCTTCTTCCAGGCATAAGGGTTTCTAAGCAACCTACTATCCGATTCTTTTTGTTTGGCTCTTCACTTTCAGTGGAAAATTAAGCAACTGAGCATCTCCAATGCCTCTTCATGGTATTTTGGAAGAGGACGTCCACATGTCTCAGTCAGGGCTTTGTTGATTAAGCTCATCCTCATCTTATTTACAAGCTAACCAAAGCCATTTATGGACTTAAACAGGCCCCTAGAGATTGGTTTTCAATCTTTTCTTCTCTCCTTTTAATGGTTTAAAAAGCAGCAACCATGATGATTCTTTTTTTATTCGAAAAGACTTCCACTACAATTATTATCATGCTCATTTACGTTGATGATATACTCATCACTGGCAATGATTCAGTCTATATTGCTTCTTTAACTCACATGCACTCTTTGTTTCCTATAAAAGAGTTGGAAAATATCAATGACTTCTTGCCAAGACTGGCAATGCTGAGTGCAAGCCTTATTCCTCACTCATATCTGTCATGCCCTTTTCTCATATTGGTGCTTCAATGCCATATTCTCAACTATCCTTCGTGGAAGGTGAGAGGTCTAAGGAAATTAATTAGGAAGCTTGTGATGTCTAGGAAATTAGTTGTAGTGTTCTCCCAAAAGATTGTTTTGGGAAAAGGTGATTTTTTATGGAAATTTAGTAAAAGGTTGATCTATTTGGTAGTCTACATTCAATTTAGGCTGAAGGCTCTTTTATTTTGCAAAGGAATTTATTTCTTAGAAACTTCATCTTGCACGAAGGTTCCTTTGTGTTTTGGTGAACTTCAACGGGTCAATTGGTGAAACTCAGTGCTTTCAATTGGTCTCAACTCAGTGCTCTTTATCAAATGTTCTTTGCCCCTTGGACTTTGGAAGGGATTTATTTGAAGTCTTCACAGTTGGCGGTAGGAATGGTTGTCTAAGATGTAGCCAAGGCATAATTGGTTTTAAGATAATTCATTGATGAAATGGTCATTTTTGTTCTACCCAAGATTGGAAGAATATTCACAAGCAATATGTGGAGTAATGGAGTAGGCTCCACCGGTTGTTATATTCAATTTCTGCCTTGATAGTATTATGTTCATCGTTTGGAGCCTTCCTAGATGTCTTTCTTATCAGTGCCCAATTCTCCTTGTTGATGAATCTGCTGAGAGTGGTTTTGCTTCAATTCAATTTTATGATGTTGAGATTTTATGAGCGAAGAGGTTTTTTTTTTTTTGGATAAGTGTCATGCCTTTATTAATGAGAAAGCAATAGAGTTAGGCATGGAAGCTTCAAACTTAAGAGATTATTTTGGAAGGACTTGTCCATATTAGAATACTTTGCTGGACAACTGCTCTGTCGCTATTGCCTCTTTTTTCAGTGGACTGCTCCATTAAGTCCTTTTGGTGCTCATCTTGAGTTTAGTATGTTGGTGTTCTATTACTTTGGTTAGCTGCAAAAGTCTTGAGTTTAGGTGTGTAGCTGTGCTTTTAGGTGTATTCATTTTGATGTTTTGGTAGTGTTGTCTTGCCAACTTTGTTTAGCTTGGTTTGGGATTCTTACTTGATTTGCGTGGGGCATATTCTAACTTAGAATGTGCTTATTAAGCAATTATATTTTTTCTTGAACTTCTCGATGTAATTTGTTGTACTTCTTGTACTACATAATTCATCAGTAAACTTTTATTTTGCCGATAAAAAAAAAAAAGTAAGTTTGCTTAGTGCTTTGTAGTACTTAACAATTACAAGGTCAAATTTGGCTTTTGCAGTTAATCATACTTGTCAATTTATGCAGAATCCAACAAATGGACATTTTGGTACTTATACGCTCTCCATTTGGACCTATTTTAATTCTTGGATGCCTTTGTGGTATTCCCAATGAAGAGATCGAGAAAGATCACCTTTTCGATGGCCAAAAAAAGATGATTTCAATTGGAAAAGGCTTAACACCCTTTCCCAATCCTTTTTTTTATTTTTTATCTCTCAAAAGACTTAAAATTTCATTTTTGACCCTTAGAAGCTCAAAATACATAACAAAACCCTAAAGTCACAAGTTTTCCTCAGAATGATGCTCGTATACTGAGTTTTGACCAACATGGTGCAAACTAGACTAAGTACGGCACATAACGCACTAAGTTTTGTATACTACACTGAGTTTCGGTTAAAAAAAAAAAAAAAAAGAAAAGAAAGAAAGAAAGTGTTTAGGTTAAGGAGATATCATTAATGAGTTCTTTGGTCAATAGTCTAGTAAGATTCTAAGAAAGATCAGAGTAGCCAATATAGCCTCCCTTCGATGTTCAATCTCCTTAGATAATAAAGCTATCTTTTTGACAAATCTCACAAGGTCTCAACCAGTAGATGGAAAGGTTGAAATTTGGAAGTACAAATATATATGAATATATATAAGCAGGTGAATAATTACGAAGTCATACTTAGCCACAGACCAGAAGTTCCATTATATTTCCAAAAGAATAATACAATTTTGGATGGACTTTAAACAAAAGGATACTCTACTAATGTCTACGATAGCCAATAATCTTCGAAAGTTTCTAGCTCTCCTTCATCTTAGTAGGTCTCCATGATATCTGGCATGAACCGCCATGAGCTTGAAATGCTCAGTAAACGTATACACACCCTCCCCCATTTTATAATCCAATGCACAATAATGATATGATCATAATATATAGTGGAAGTAATAATCAAGCAAAACTTAAATTAAATTTCAGTTCTCAAGAATAACGGTCAATCAAGTTAATTTTCGGCAATTCCCCGCGAAATGCTGTTCCTACCCAACCACTCCCATTGGCCACGGACAATTCTGACTTCCCATTGATTAAACAAATACCAATGCGTCGCATATCGCACAATTACTAATGATGCCCATGCACCTAGGTTACATACCCGAGTAGTGACATTACGGTCTACCACAAGGGAATGGGCTTCCAAGGATACTCTCCCTGTGTGAGACCTTCACTGCCACCCTTATACCTCCCAATTCCGTTAAGCAGCTAGAATACCTCTCGTGCCATGTTAGGGTTCGAAAACACATTTATGTAATACTTAACTCCTAAATAGGGAACACATCCCACCAATCAATAATTGAAATCAACAAGTTATTATCTAATAAGATTTATCTTAGTGATCGAAAATCTAATACCATCCTTATTAAGCTTCCCATTGAATTAGATAAATTTGGTTAAGGCTAGCGCATGCCATGAGACAATAATTCATGAACACTATCATAGCATCATTATTATGAAAAATAGTTGCAACACATGTAGATAATCATACTAAGGCATGAACAAATGGCTACAAGCATATTCATGAAACTAGAACTATGAGCTCACTAATAAAGTAGATTTCCAGATTTGGTACTTTCTAAAGAGACATATGCATATTTTTCCTGAACTTGGCCTCCTTATGGTGTGTAGAGAATTTTGTCTAGTTTTCGGAACATGTTTTAGAATTTGAATACCTTTCCTAGATTTTTATTTATTTGAGAAATACACCAGAGCTGTCTCGGTTTGTCGGCTGTTACGAAAAACGGATTTTCTCTCAAACCACTCACTCTTTTTCAATAAAATCTTTTTTCCTTGGAAACTAACACTTAAAGGAAGATTTGGACATAAAAATGAGGTCAAGGAGATTTTTCTGTATTTTTCGAGAATTTTTTAAAGTAGGCTATAAAAATCTATCTTCTTGCACAATATTAAATATAAGAAGGTTTGAGTGAAAAGAAGGCGACTTAGGGAAATTTCTCACTTCCTATGAGATTAAAACATGTTAAATAATGTACTTAGATTTTTAGAGTGATGGTTTGCCTTTGAACTAGTGTGAGATATGGAGAGAAAAAGATAGCTATCATCCCTTGAGTGAGAATACCAGTAGGAGAAGACTCAAGGCTCAACCCATCCATTTCACACACAGGAACAACAGAATATCAGAACTGAAATGATAGTAACGGTCCTCTAGAACTATGTATTTGAACAAGAAAGTAGAAGAGGAGATTGTGTTGTGGCTTACATGAATTTTTATGAAATGGTGGCACAAGATTTTCCTTCTATCTGCCCTTCCTTCACCACCAAAGCTTTTTCTATTACTCTCTTTTCCTTTCAGCTGTGGGTGAATGTGGTGTACGAGTGTTTTCTTTTTTTCCAAAATGTGGAGGGAGAGTGACATAGTTATAGGTTTCACAAGCTTACTTTACAATTTTCCCAAGCTTACTCTACAATTTTCCCAAGCTTCCTTCAAAATCTATGTTTAAAGCTTCCTCAAAAATCTGTGTTCAAAGCTTCTCTAAGAATCCATGTCGAAGGCTTCCCTAAGAATTCATGTTCAAAGCTTTCCTAAGAATCCATGACCAAAGTGTACAAGTTTAAACATATATATATATATATATATTATGGTACTACTTGGGGTCCAAGTATAATTTCAATAAATTATGAGGGCTAGGGCTTAATTTGATTATTTGAAACATTTACTTAAGTGTAGTATTTAATTGGATTAGGATTTGAAAGTTTAATTCAGTTAAAGTTTCTCCGTTTTGAATTAAACGATGAATGTAATGAGAGCCAAAAATCTAGGATTTTAGTTGACCAACCTAATCAAAAAGTTAATTAATTATCATTAAGGTATTAGAAATGATCCCTAAGTTATCGGAATTGATTAGGGTTTGCACGTTTTTGATCGGCGCTCACTTCCAATTTTAGGGTTAAAATTGCAAGAAAACAAGAATTCGAGAGCTTTCATTGAAATAATTCTAAAATAAGGGTTTAGAAGAAATTACAAAAGTTAAGGTCCTTACACATACCGCACTAAGTTCTGTATGCTACACTGAGTTTTGGGCATGCTTTGTGACATGGCGCGTGTTGTATTGTCGCGATATGGCATGTGCCATAATGTGAAATGGCATGCTCCATATCATGTTGACACAAAATGGCGGGTGTCATATCATGATATGATAGGCACCGTATCGTGACTAGTGTGTGCCATTCTGCAACTGTACTTGCATGTCCTTGCACATCGGTCCAAGATTTGTCTAGTTGACTTTCCCCACCATCTCTGACGTTTGACTCTATAAATAGAGGCCTCTTTTTAGTTGGGAGGAGAGAGGAATCATAGAGAAAGCTTTGAGAAACACTAGAGCTAAGAATTGGTAAGGGAAGGAGATCTCAATTCTTTTCATCTTGCTAAAGTCTTGTGTAAATATCTTCTCAAACCTCTGAAATCATCTATATTCCAGCCCCTAAATCAGTATTTAAACACTCTACAACCCTCAAACATTGAAAATCTTGTTCAAATCTTCAAATCAAGCTAGTCATCTTCAAGTAAAAATTCGTAACCGAAGGAATATCGAAAGGGACAAGGCTGGCTGCTTTGTTACTATTTCAATCACGCTTCTATAGGTATAACTTACTGTTTTCCTAGTTTTTATTAACTTTGGCGTTCATTTCTTTAACCAAATGCATAGATATTTGCTTGAAAATGCATGTTTTGACTCTTAATCATGTAGTGATAGATTTTAATACAAATGTACTGGTTTTTCATGCTTAGCTAGCCATAATATAGTCATTGCATAATTATGAATGCTTAGAATAATCATTTCTCACATGTTATTCAAGAAAATCACATTTATCGCCTTTAAGGTGAATTATTAGAAGAGTTTTATTTGTGTATGTAAGATTTGTATCTTTGAGGAGTACGTATTTTCCATGTTAAAGTTCATTAGATTGTCATAAAATTACGCATTTTGCTTTTCCTTTTAGCATTTCTTTAGTTTGTAAGTAGTGAAGTTTTGAATTGCATGCCACAACATTTTCTTCGATTTTTAGCATTGGAATACCTACTGTGTGAGCATGAAATAGCTGCGGGAAATTATAGTTTTAAACTCCAAATTGTATCGTATGCCCATGAAACATGCCATGCATTTCTTTAGATAGGTCCATCCATATTTTCCTATAGTATGTGTTTTATAGCCATAATTTGCTCACTGTTTTGATCCTTTTGTTGTCATTTTTTATTTAATTTGCAGCATATTAGTGTAATTTGAACACTTAGAAACATGATAGGAGCTTCCTTTAAAATTAAGATTTCATGTTACCTTTATTCTGCACATGTATTGTGTTATTTAGGAAGTTTACTTCATTATCTTTCTTTTTATTACATTATTGAACTAAAAGATTTTTCATGATTTTTTTTCCCTCTTCCTTTCTTGTTATCGAATAATAATTATTTTTATTGCTTTGATTATTTATCTTTTTGCTCATATCTCATAAATACGCATGTAAGTTTATTTTTAGTTTATAAAGAAAAATTCATGCTAACTAGAGACTAACCATATGGTTAAGTTAAATGGGTACTTAATACCTTCATAATGATTAACTTGGCTTCCGAACTCATTTTCACTTGGTAATGATGGAACTAATGCTTATCCTTGGATTCATATATAAAGTTTCACGAGACATAACTGGGTGGCAACTCTTTAAATCAATTAAACCCTTTTTTGGACCTCCAGTTTCCTCTGGGACATCATTTACTAGACCGTTCTACAAGTGCTGGTCCCAAAAGCCCTACAAGTTTTATTAGGAGGGAAGACCAAATGTGGTCCACCACACACGCACCCTGCCGCTAGGGGTGGGCGTTGGTTCGTTGGCCCATCCAACCTACTTGGCCTAACCCTATTTTTTTAGGATTTGAGAAGGTTGTTTTAATCCATAAGGCTGGGTTGGGCCAACATTTTCAGCCCATATATTAATGGGCTGTGTTTGGGATTTATATTTTCAACCCAGCCCGACCTGCTATTAAATTAATTAATTAATTATAATATATTAAAATATATATTTTTTATTGAGATGTATACTTTATCTTTATTGATTTTATTAAAATTTACATTTGTAGTGATGTGTGCTTGAATTTATTTAAGAAATATCATGTGTGATTGAATTTAATTATGGAATGTTTTAATTTTTTTTTTAACATATAACCCCGATGGGTGAGTTTAGGATTTATAATTATTTTTTGGGTCGAGTTTGGACAGATGTAGAGGCCCGATGTTAGGGCT